GGCGGAGAAGGCGACGGCAGAGGGGGCGACGGCGGCGGCGGGCTCGGCGGTGGCGGCGACGGTGGCGGCGTCGAGGGCGGCGGCGGCGAGGGCGGCGGCGGGCTCGGCGGCGGCGGCGGCGAGGGCGAGGGACGCGCCTGAGGTGCAGGGAGGGCGTCAATACTCACAGCACTGGTGGTTCGGCCTCTAGGAGGCGGGCGGCACCCGAGCGGCTGGCGTATTTTCCGGCCAGGCCGACGAGGGTGAAGGCGTCGATGAGCATAAAGCCGCCCGTGGGCCGCGCCAGGGCCGCGGCGGGTCCTGGCGACCCCTCGAGGGAGGCCAGGGTGGCCAAGGCAGCAGCCACAGCCTGGGAGGAAAAGTGCGCCGCCGACGCGCACTTCTCGTGCGGGTCATTCTCGGAGTTGTCGGGGACGTGCGAAGCTACCGCCTGCGAACGGCCGGTTGGAAGACGTCATGGCGGGCATGTACGACCCTTAAGAACCCGCGTACGACCAGAAGGTCGGCTGTGAGGCGAGGCTGAAGGCAGCCCAAAAACTGCTGGTTCTCGGGTCCGAGGGCAGCCTCAACTGGAGTAGGGAAATTTGGATCTTGGTCAAACGCCTGCTGGGGGCAGCTTCGCGGAAGTATTCCGGAAGCCAGATGATCCCCCAGCAGGCACACACACACGGAGGTGACAGGGGATGGTGGTGGGTTCAAGCAAAGAAGGGGAGGGAGAGAGCGACGCGGCGAGCGCAGGCGGCGAGCGTGCACGTCGCGTGTGCGGCGTCTTGTTCACTCCCCTTTGAGCTACCTTTGTGCCCCCTTAGGGGCACCCCTCCTGCGCTGCGCGTATGGTCACCCCTCCCTTCCGCCCTGTTGTTTTGGATGCCCCGCTCCGAGAAAGCATGTCTCGCAGCTGCGAGAAAAGACCTTCTCGGGTCCGAGGGCAGCCTCAACTGGAGTAGGGAAATTTGGATCTTGGTCAAACGCCTGCTGGGGGCAGCTTCGCGGAAGTATTCCGGAAGCCAGATGATCCCACTTGTCAACAGCAGGCGCCAGCGCCAATCAAATCTCCCTAGTGATGTTGACAACGGGCAGTCGAGATGGGCAATCTGACCATGAGTCGTTCATCAGGGGATGAACTCCATGTAGTAGTTAATGGATTCCGATCGGCCAACCGTCTCGCGACAGTGCCACCGAAGAACAGTGGGAGGACTTTACCGACCCGACTCGGCTGAGCCGTCGGTGCCCGCCGCCCTCGCACGCCCATAGGACGACGATGACGACAGCAGGAGCTCGGCGCGAGCCGATTTAACTCCTGCCCCATTGTTGTAAGGTGCGTATGGCTCGGAACGTGAAGCGATGCGATGTAGTAGCTCGAATTGGCGTGAACACCGGCTTGCTGCGCGGCGGGTCAACCCCATTATGCGCAGTCATCCGGAATTCACCCAATCGTTGAAGGCAGGGGCCGAGCATGCCGGAGAGGTAGGCGATCACGGTCCACGGCGCGTCCCCCTCGACCTCTAGGGTGGAGAGCGGGGTGCAGGCCAGCGGGGCGAGGCATGGCGCGAGGGCCGCGCGTGCAGCCGCCGCCGGCCTCGCCGCAGACGCCGCGGCGCTGGCTCGGCGAGGCGCCCCGCGCTGCGCATGAGCAGCATCTCCCGCCAGCGCGGCCGCGGCGGCGAGGCCCCCCACCGGGAGGAGATCGGGCTCTTTCACCTCCAGCGCCGCTGGCGACACATCGAGGCGGTCGATCGCCAGCTGTAGTGCAGCCGAAGAGGAGAAGGGGGCTGCGTCGAGGAGCCCGCACGTGAGCAGCTCGTTCAGAAAGCGAGCCCACGCGGTTCCGGTGAGAGCGAGGTCCAGCGGGCAGACCATCGGGGCGGGAGTACCGGCGGGGGGCGCCGCGAGGCGCAGCCGCCGGCCAAAGACGCGCAGCATCGCGTGGTGCGGAAGCTGCACGCGCGCTGCTCCGCTCGGCGCAGCCGCAACCGGCCCCCAGCGGAGGACGGCAGTAGCCACCACCAGCGGGTGGGCAGCGGGGCCCTGGACGGGGGCGTCGGGCCCCGCGTGAACGCAGTGCACATCGATCGGCGGTACTGCCGCGGCCATCGCGCCCGACAGGGGCCGAGCGCGGCTCGCAGAAGCTCTCTTTATTCCCTAGTTCAAGCAAAGAAGGGGAGGGAGAGAACGACGCGGCGAGCGCAGGCGGCGAGCGTGCACGTCGCCTGTGCGGCGTCTTGTTCACTCCCCTTTGAGCTACCTTTGTGCCCCCTTAGGGGCACCCCTCCTGCGCTGCGCGTATGGTCACCCCTCCCTTCCGCCCTGTTGTTTTGGATGCCCCGCTCCGAGAAAGCATGTCTCGCAGCTGCGAGAAAAGACCATTTCTGTTGCTGACAGTTGTGGGCGATCGCGCGCGAACTGACGGCAGGCAAGCCGGCAGGTGGGAGGCGGGGATGTGCCGGGTGGATCCCCAAGCGGGCGAGCCGGGCCCGTGCATAGTTCGGGCGCGGGGGGCGCGGGAGCATGAGAAAGACGCACCGACATGCTGGTGGCTACCGGTCTCTTGATTGCCTGATTTTGACGATTCTCGTTGGACCGTCGCTCGGAGCGAAATCCCAAAAGCTCTCAGCTCAAAGGGGGAATTTATTTGTTTGGGCAGTGTTCGACCGGGCTACGCCATCTCGTCCCTTTTTCGTGGATTTTTGCGGGTCAACTACGAAAGAAAGGATATAAGGAAGGCGTAGTGTGAGCAGCGCTTTTTCTCTATTCGTCCGTGCCGATGTGTGTGCTAGTATGCGCCAGTCCACGCCCTTGTAGTGTCAGCGTGACAGTGTGTGCTGTGAGACACCAAAACGCGAATTCTCACGATACACGAATTCTCACATCTCCGCCGCTTTGACCTTTGTTTGAGGCTCCTTTACCACCATCGGGAGGCGGCGGCGAGAAAATCAGACTCGGTCGAAAGACCCCATCCCGGGCTGGATACGACTTGTCGATCCAACTCCCAGGCTCTGGACAGGACGGCCGCACTGATAACTGCCATTGGCGGTTTGTGACAGGGGCGGCAAGCGACGGGCGGGTGCGCGACCTTTTGAGCGGCCGTGAGCTCGCCGGGACGTCGCCGACCACCGATCACCGATGGCTCGGATGGCTCGGCGTGCCTCTTCCCGCCAGGGCCAGCGCGGGACGGCCTGCAGACAGGGAGGGAGGGGGAGGGTGGCCCGCCACAACGACCCCTGGAATTGCGACTCGCCGCTTTCCTCCCACTGTGAATTAAATAAATAAATGAGCATCATCTCCCGTAGAGATGGCCACTGTGAATTGCGAAGCGAATTCTCTATTCGGTCGGCAAAGCGCGGGTGGGGGGCGAGGCGCCGAGCGATGCAATCTCGCCCCCTGGCTGCATTGCTGCGGCGATCGCACGCGCGCAGTGGCAGCGTGGCTGGGAGGGAGTCGCGCTGGATGTCGACGTCGAGCTTCTACGATTCGCAGTCTGGTCGGCACATCACTCTGGACGAGTGGGTGCGCCTGTACGACCTCACGGCGCCCGCCACCGAGCTTGCTAGCGTTGACAGCGCGGACGACCTTCCTGCTAGTGGCGGCGTTCTGCTCACGCTAGCTGCTCGGGGCACCGAGGTAGAGGGCCGGGCGGAGGCAGTGGTGATCGCGCAGGCGGCCAAGGCCAGAGACATGCCGGTTCGGGCGCTGATCAGCAACGCCTTTGGCTGCGAGGAGCACGGCTCGACGGACCCAAATGTCCTGCAGCTCGTTGCGGCCGAGCTGGCGGACGTAGGTGTCGACGTCATCACCCTCGGCGACCAAGAGGTGCGCGAAGGCACCACAGTCGCCGCCGCCGCTCGACTGCGTAGTCACAGCCCCGCGACGCGAGTCTGTGCGCACCCGCCGCCACCGCTCTCCTGCCGTTCGCAGGGGTTCGGCAACGAGGATGCGCTCGAGGAGGCGGTGGAGGCGATCTGCTGGAACGACGTCGTCGGCGTGCCTCTCAGCCACCGGCTCGGCCTCCGTGCCGCACCCACCGAGGAGGGGATCCTCCTGTGCGGCACTGCGGTGGGCGCGCCACCGCCCCGCGCCGCCGCCGCCCCGCCGCGCTGGCAGGCCCGCCCCGCGCCTCGCCGTAGGCGGGCCCCCAGTTCGCGATCAAGCACATCGACGTGTGCTCGCGTGGCGAGCAGGCGCCGCAGGCGGGCGAGGTGGCGGCGCTGCTCAAGGAGAACGGGATCGAGCACGGCGTGGACGGCGGCAAACTGCCGTGAGGGTTGGCGCGTGTGGCTTTCGAAAGGGCGGGGTAGCTGAGGGCGGGGTAGCTGGGAGAAACAGAAAGAGAATAGTGAAAGAGGGGGAGGCGAGGCGTGTGGTCTCTCTCTATGTGTGTATTCCCCCTAATCTCCCCTAAAAAGTTAATAATAAATAAAACGAGCAGCCCGCCGTAGCCGGCATCATCGCACCAACGCCCAACGCCCACCCCTCCAGAGAGGACCGCACCTTTCCGAGTGAACCACGTACACTTCAGGAGTGGCCGCGGCGCTCGGTCGGGTCGTAAACGGGAGTAGAATAAAGGAGGGAAGACATGCATGGCTCAGCGCATCCCTTGTGCGCCCGACCCCGAACTGTTCAGTTGAACTGAACCGGCGACAAACGCAGCCTAATATTCTAGCGTGTCCCGCCCAATACCACCGATCGAGCAGTCCCGTGACTGTGGCCGCCTAGCTCCCATAGCTCTGGGCATGCGCGAAACCCACGATTGCGCGCGACGCGCATTCAATCTCCTAGCCACGCACGGTCAGCAGCAGCGGGCGTGAGTCGGAGAATCTGCAAAACCCTTGCCCTCCTTCCTCCAGCATGTGCCGTGATGGGCTCCAGCGCTGGTTCATCTGCCGCTCAAAAATCTCACGCAAGCGAACGGTGTCAATCCTCAGCCGCGAGGATTGGGACCTTGAAATCCACGATCACAAGCAAACGCGCAGAGCATTGAGCAACACACCTCGGGTTGAACCTCTCAAGGTGCATGCTGTCACCGGCAGTCTGCATGTGGATCGTAGACGATGACTATGGCTGGAATAAGCTCAAGTTCGTCACGAGAAGAGCTCCAATGCCAGCCAGCTGGCTATCCCACACGCTCGGCCGTCGGCGGATCAGCCCACTTTCTTCGTGTCAAAAGAGCGGCGACATGAAAGCTCCGAGCACACGCATGGTGCGCATGAGGCAAGCAGGTCAGGGCCTCTCGCCGGCTCCAATTGGCACCAAGTGGCACCAAGTTCCAAGTTCCAGCACACCAAGTGGGGCCGACGCAGGCGGAAAGATCACAAGCGCCCGTCGACTCTCTGAAAAAAATTCTACGGTCTAGCGCTATTCAAGGTAGACATATTGACCACGTCGTTGCTGATAGTTTGAGGTGAGCAATGGCATGCACATGCGCGCGTGTGGGCTGGAGGAAGGCACGGCGCGCGTGGCTGGCGTTCACTGTGCGAGTCAAAGCGCACCGGCCACGGTGGCCATTGCCGAGCCACAAGTGGCGTTGATCAGGAACTCTCATGTAGAGAGCTCTGCTCTGCTACAAGAAAGCAGGCTCACCCTACACAGAGAAATTCTGAGGCAGAGGAGCAGGAGTTTTGCAAAATGTGTGAGACGTACAAACGCTGCTGTGCATCAGGCGTTGAGAGCTACATCCACGCGCACCGGTGTCTTATTTTAGTCCATGGGGTGTACTGCACAGATGGGTGGGTGGGCGGTTGGGCCCGTTCACGAGGGCTATGGCTGCCTCACGGCTGTGCCTGTGGCGCTGCCTCGCTGTCGCTGTCGCTGTCGCTGTCGCTGTCGCTGTCGCTGTCGCTGTCGCTGTCACTCGCGGGGCCCCGCGCTGACATTGTCACCGCCTGTCGTTGGCATTCACTGGCTTCACTGTCACTGTCACTATGGCTGTCACTGTTCCTGGTGCCTTTCACTCCTCCTTGGCAGCTGGCTGTCACCAGCTGTCACCAGCTGTCACCAGCTGTCACCAGCTGTCACCAGCTGTCGTTGCTGCCGTCGTTGCTGCTGTCGTTTCGCAGCCGCTGTCATGACATATTGACCACGTCATGACGGTTAACAGCCGTTTTAACCGTCATGACGTGAACTTTCCATAGTCTCTAAGCTCAAAAAAAGAAAGTGGGATTTCAAAATCGTCGGGAATTCGGATACAACTTCTTCTCGGTAGCTGCGATCGAGTAGTAGTTGCCCTCGCTGTCGCTCAGCAGCGCGTCGCGGACCAAGCGCTTGATGAGCGCGTGACGCGACGAAGGCGTGTTGGATATCAGCTGTCGCGTTATTACTTCGGCGATCCGACGCGTGTTCTCCTTACCAGTCCGCCAGGTCTGGATGGCGTCGAGGAGCTCCGCACAGCACAACACGCCCTTCAAGAAGAAGTGAAGGCTGCGCTCGGTCGGCACGCGCCAGGCCGGAGGTAGTAACAGGCCGCGCTTGATGCGAAGCTCGCGCTGCTTGCGGCTGAAAGTACCAGCCGGGGCGCGAGGCACGCGCGCCTCGAGCGGCGGCGCCATACAAATCGTGGCCGGAGCGGCCCCAAGGGGGACGCTAGCAGCACGCCCGCACACCTGAGACAGCCTCGATGTGCTCTAGCAAAAGAATTTGAGCGCGTTTGTTCGGTCTGGGTCTCGATCCGTAAGACTTTTTTTTATCTTCAGTCTATGTCAGGTGTGTGTTCTTTTTGCTTGGGGCGGCACTCATGCCGGGTAGGTAGGGTAGGTCTGCGCCCTCCCGTCGGGTTTTCCCCCTCTCTTCAAGCTGCTGGAATTTCAAAAAAGAATTTTTTCGCGGAAATCACGATGTCAACCCTCCCCAAATGGGTGATCTGATGCTTGTAGGGCTTGAGAGTGGCCTGCCATGTGCATGTCACAAGAAGGACTGTGGTTGCAGGAGAGTACCACCAACAATCATAGTTGGTATTGTACCCCACCTTCACCCATCGAGTGATTTCTTTTTTAGTTTCCCATAAGTAAGGTAGGTAGGTAGGTAGGTAGGTAGGTAGGGGCAGGGCAGGGGCACTTGGAGCACTTGAGGCCGGCCAGGTTTTTGCAGAATTTCAGCACGAGTGCCGAATTTCAGCATGAGTGCCGCCCCGAGCAAAAAGAATTTTACAACAAAACTCCCTCGCACAACACTGGGCACGGGCGCACTGGCACAGCAAAAAGTATTTTTCAACAAAACTCCCACAACAGTCAACACTGCTCACTGGGCACGGGACTGGCGCGCACTGGTTGAGCAAAAAGGACACATGCCTTGTGCTTACGTTTTTGAGCTTAGCCTTCGATGTTATGAAACAAACGCAAGGGGGACATGGCATATCGCTCTCGGGCCCACAGACATCCCGCACACCCGCCGCCCCTGCGCGCGCCCCCCGGCCGGGAGAAAGGGGAGTGACAGTTTGGGATGGCAACAGTCGAGTACCTCGCACTCCATGTGCGAGAACGCAGAGAGAAAATGAAAGCCGTCCGGCGCCCAAGTCCGGCTCACGCGCCCCGAGCTGACCCTCTACCGCACTGGTCACTTCCGCCCCCTCGCTCCCAACCCATCCACCTCGCCGACCGCAGAACCGCGCGATCTCGGGCGATCTCGGGCCGCGCCGCGCGATCTCGGGCGATCTCGCGCTATCTCGGGCGATCTCGGGGCCGCGCCGCGCTATCTCGGGCGATCTCGGAGCGTCGCTCGCGCGGCGGCACACACACCTGCTCAAAAAAGGAAGCCGGTTGGAGCCACGGGGCTCACGTGCTCGCTCGGTTCTCGCCGCCTCACTCTGCGCCACGAGGGCCGGTGAGGCGGCGCCCCGCGCGGCGCGTTCATCGCCCTCCAGCCGACCCCCGCGCCAACCGCTCATCTGCCTCATCGGGTATTCGGGTTCCTCTCGGGCTCACGCAGGTTTGAAGTCAAGCCGATGTCGTCGGTCCTCTCTCAGGCGGACGTCGACCGGCTGCGGCGCTACGCGACGCGCCGGCCCGCGCAGTCGCGTGAGGCCGCTGAGGCCGAGGTCCAGGCCGAGACGGAGAGGATCTGGCGCGAGCGCGAGGCCGCCGAGCTGCGTCGAGACCCGACCTTTGCGCAGATCCCGCGCTTCCACCTCAAGCGCTCTCACGCCCCGCGCACGAGCGCCCACCGGGGCGGCGGCGGCGGTGGCGCGCGCGCGAGTGCCGCCAGCTCTGCCGACGACCAGCGGCGCGCGCTCGAGGAGGGCGTCGGCAAGCTCGCTCGCCGGCGGCTGCGCGAGCACATGCTGTCGCTCATGCTTGAGCCGGCGGAGCTGGACGAGTGCTGGCGGCTGCTGCGCGCGCACGCGTCGCCGCCCGCGTCGCCGCTCGACGAGCGCATCGACTACGCCGGCTTCTGCCGCGTTGCGGACGCCATGCCCGCGCGGCTCGGCCGGCACTTTTTCGGCGCCGAGCACTTTTTGCGCTTCCCGAATGACCCGTGGGGGCGGGTGTCGATCGTGCACTACTTTTGCTGGCTGCGCAGCAAGACCGCGATCCTGCGCACGCGGATCGAGTTCTCGATCTACGACCACTCCACCGATGGCACGCTTGGCGAGCGGGAGCGGGAGCCGCGGCGAGTGCGCAGATTTCTTGTTGCGGCTGATGCAGCTCCTTGTTGACAGGCGAGCGAGAGCTGGAGCAGTGGGTGTCGGACCTGCTGCCGCAGCTGCCGGCGCTGCGCGAGCTACGCGAGGAGTTCTTCCCCTTCTACAAGGCGACGAGAGACAGCCGAGAGACAGCCGAGAGACAGCCGAGAGACAGCCGAGAGACAGCCGAGAGACAGCCGAGAGACAGCCGAGAGACAGCCGAGCTGCGCGAGGAGCTCTCCTCACCTGTGTGCAAGGTGACTGCCGTGCGAAAGTTCTTCTTCTTCCTCGACCCGCGCCGGCGCGGCCGCATGTCGCCACCACCCCCAATGCTCTCCTCTGCGAGATCACCCGAGATTGCCCGAGACTAGGCGAGGCCGCATCTCGCTGCAAAAGATGCTGTCCTCGCCGATCATGCACGAACTGCTCGAGCTGCGCAGAGGCGAGGCTTGCCGAGATGGGCCGAGATGGGTCGGCCGAGGGGGAGGGTGGCCGAGGGTGGCCGAGGGTGGCCGAGGGTGGCCGGGGTTGCTTCTCACGAGTCTGGTGGCTGTGCAGGCGACTTGGGCCAGGAGGAGCTGCGCCAGAACTGGTTCTCGCTCGAGTACGAGACGCTGCACTGCAGGGCTGCATCGGCCAGAGGACGTGTCGAGGTGATGCCGATGCCGTGTGTTTCGTAGGTACGCAGAGATGCTCTACTCGGACTACCTCGAGCTCGACGCGGACCAGAACGGCATGCTCTCTGTCGGCGAGCTCATGCGCTTCCGCGGCGGCGCGCCGCCAGGAGGAGGGCTGACAGCGCCATTCGTGCAGCGGGTCTTCCAGGATTGCCACCACGCACCACAGACCGCACTTGCACCTCGGAGTCACTCGGAGTCACCTCGGAGTCACCTCGGAGTCCTCGTGGGTGATCTCGACCTGATCTCGACCTGATCTCGACCTGATCTCGACCTGCAGGAGTGCCACACGTACCGCACCAAGAGCGACGACGGCGACACCAGAGCAAGCTCGACCGCAAGCCGTGGGCGGCGCCTCTTCACAGCGCCGGCCGTGAACAGGCGTCGCGCAGAGCGAGCTCGACTACAAGTCGTACCTCGACTTTGTGCTCGCGCACTCGTACAAGGGCACGCCCGAGGCGCTCACCTACTTCTTCAAGCTGCTCGACCTGCGCCGTGCAGGCCGGCCGCTCGGGCTGGACGCCGCCTGCACTCCTTCCGCGCTGCATGGCGTGAGACTGTGTGTGTACTAGGCCGGCTGCTCGGGCTGGACCTCGCCTACTTCTTCCGCGCGGTCCTCGAGAAGTTTGACGAGCTGGGTGAGGAGCCGAACTGCCTGGTGGCGGACGTGCAGGCGTCGACCCGGACCACGACCATCACCCATGACCCTGACCATGACCCTCACCCCCCCTCACCCCCACCCCCACCCCCACCCCCACCCCCACCCTCACCCTCACCTGCCTTTGACCTTCAGGACGAGATCTTCGACATGGTGAAGCCGGCAGACCCGCGCTACATCACCCTGCAGGACCTCATCAACTGCAGGCCGCACCCGATGCGTTTCTCCTCCGCTCCGCAAATCTCGCCCTCAGGCGCCCCTCCCCCCTCGCAGGGTCGGGGATACCATCGTCGGCATGCTCACCGACGCGCACGCCTTTTACCAGCACGACCGGCGCGAGGAGCTCATGCCACACGACGGGGAGGGGGCGGGGGAGGGGATGGCGGGGGAGGGCGAGGCGGAGAGCAGCGGCGATACCAGTGCTGGCCAGCCGCAGCGGGAGGCGGGGGGGCCTGCGCCGGCGGCGGTAGCATTCGGTTGATGCGCGCATTGCGTCGCGAGTCGCGTGGCGTGCCAAGTGCATATATTTTGCTTCTCTCGCTCCCCGCACTCTGGAGTCAGAGACCCACGGCTCACGGGACTCACTCGGCAGTCACTCGGGAGCTCGGCGGCTCTCTCGCTCTCAAGAGTCAAGTCGTGTCAAGAGAGAAGAGACATCAGACAAAGTCAAACAAAGACCACAGCGTCTCACGGCCGGGCCGGGGGCCGCGCGGGACGGGGAGGGGGGAGGGAGGGGGGTGGATCCGTAAATCCGTAATTCCGTAAACAAAAGCCAGCAGCGAGTCCCCCCGCACCGCACCCAGCTACCAGGCAGACAGAGACACAGCACTCGCGCGACATGCTAAGAAGCCGGGGGCTGGCCTCTCTCTTGGGCCAGGTACCAATTTTGTCGAATTTATTTCAAAATCTGCAGGCGCGGAGCGCCTGCGAAAATTTTGAAGAAATTTGCAGTCGGGCCTGATTTTCATCAAGATCTTTCAAATTTGCGGTGTGGAGGTGGGGGGTGGGTTAGGTTAGGGTTATTAGGGTTAGAGGGTTAGGGTTAGGGTTAGGGTTGTCAGGGTTGTCTGGTTGTGTCTGTATATGCCAGCGTTGCAGGGTTCTGCGCTGGTATCTGGCCCCACAGCGCCGACGACTAAGACTCAGCCCCACACGCTGACCTAGGGTTAGGGTTAGGGTTAGGGTTAGGGTTAGGGTTAGGGTTAGGGTTAGTCTTCTTGTGTTTGTATGCCAGCGTTGCAGAGTTCTGCGCTGGGATCTGGCCCCAGCGCCGACGAGTAAGACTCAGCACCGCACGCTGACCCCACCAAATGCCGCCTCAGGGCGCCAGGCCGCCAGCCACTTCTTACACGCGGCCGGCGCCCTCTCGCGGCAAAAGGGTCGAGCGAGCGGGCAGAGTCGCGATGTCTGCGCACCCGCGTGCCGATGGGCGGCACACGCAACCGAGAGAGGCCCTGTCACGCCGCCAGTAGCGTTCTCCGCACTCCCCACGCCACCAATTGCCGCCTCAGGGCGCCAGCCACCTCCTTACACGATTACACGCGGCCGGCGCCCTCTCGCGGCAAAAGGGTCGAGCGAGCGGGCAGAGTCGCGCGATGTCTGCGCACCCGCGTGCCGATGGGCGGCACACGCAACCGAGAGAGGCCCTGTCACGCCGCCAGTAGCGTTCCGCACTCCCCACGCCACCAATTGCCGCCTCAGGGCGCCAGCCACCTCTTATACACGCGGCCGGCGCCCTCTCGCGGCAAAAGGGTCGAGCGAGCGGGCAGAGTCGCGCGTTGTCTGCGCACCCGCGTGCCGATGGGCGGCACACGCAACCGAGAGAGGCCCCGTCACGCCGCCAGTAGCGTTCTCCGCACTCCCCACGCCACCAATTGCCGCCTCAGGGCGCCAGCCACCTCTTACACGCGGCCGGCGCCCTCTCGCGGCAAAAGGGTCGAGCGAGCGGGCAGAGTCGCGATGTCCCTGCGCACATGGGTGTTCGCCGCCTATATGCTCTATCCTGTGCCAAGACGGACACATTTTGACAATCAAAATCTACCTCAAAATTTGCGGCCGCCCCTCGAAATTTGCTGATCAAATTTGCGGTGGCCCGGATCGAAACCAAACACCTCTCCGACGCGCTCGACTATAGTCTGTACTTTGGCCAACCTCTCTCTCCCGTCCCCAATGCGCCGCTCGCGCTTCGCGCAACCGGCTGTCAGTCTGCACGCGCAGCAGCTCTCCGGGGTCATGCTCCATGGCCCAGGGCTATCGGCTGCTACACTGCTGTGTGCTGTGTGGCTGCTGTGTGCTCACCTCTAGAATTGTAAGAATCACAAAACTTTGACAACGGATCACGGTCACACGCGCCATTCCCGCGAACTCCCTCAATCGCTCTCCCCTGCATACCCGCCAAGCAAGCGGCTTTGTCGCCACTTTTCGTCTGGTGCCTCTCGCGCCTCTCGTGGAGCTGCACACAGCCCTGCGAGCTGCACAGCCCGGGCGCACTTCTGCAGCGCTCACGGAAGGGCAAACAGCCCGTACGCCTCCTCCTCGCTGTCGTCCCCCTCGCTCTCCCCAAAGGCCAGTCCGCCCACGCCGATCGCCCCCAGCCCGCCAACCGCCCCCAGCCCGCCCCCGCCCGCCGCCCCGCCCCCGACGCGCAAGCGGGAGATGAGGGCAGAGAGCGTCGTCGCAAGGCGCTGCCTGCCCCGGCAGGTGTCCCGGACGGAGCCCAGCGCGCGCAGCTCGTGCTCGCGCCGCCGCGCCTAATCTCGGGCGATCTCGATCTCGAGCGATCTCGACGTCCTCTCGGCGTGCTCTCGGGGCCTCACGCGCCGCGTGCTGGTCACAAAAGGTTTGCAGGTGCGCAGTCAGCTCGGGCGGAGGCATCCTCTCGCCCTGCAGCGGCGAGCGCCTCGCCATGCAGGAGAGCATCGCCCCGCCCGCGAGCCGCCTGCGGTGAGGCGAGGGTGAAAGGTCGGGCAGCCTCCTCGCCACACACACAAGGCGGCGGGGCAGGGGCCAGGCTGCGACCAGCTGGGCTGCGACTCCCGACTCCACGTCTAAAGAAAGGAGCTGGGCATGAAAAGTGCAAGGCCCGGAACACGCGGGAGACTCACTCTCGACAGATGAGAATGAGACCCCTTCCCCGCCAGTCGCCACAGGAAGGAGCTCGCTCATCTCGCCTCCATCTCGGCTCATCTCGGCTGCATCTCGCCTCGTCTGCCCGACCGCAGGAAGGAGCTCGGCCGCCAACTCGGGAAAGTCGAGGGGCGGCTCCGGAGTCGAGAGGCTCTGCAGCACCAGCACGGTGCCTGCGAGAGGGCCTCGAGGGTGATTGCTACACCGATGCATTCGCGAATACGGCGCGCGGCGCAACCGGCACGCGGCCTTCGGAGAGAGGCCGCGTCAGCACGCTGTATCTCGGCTGTATCTCGGCGATCTCTCGGCGATCTCTCGGCGGCCTTCGGAGTGAGGCCTCATCAGCACGCCCACCCGCCCGTTGTGTGACCAGGTGCCTGCAGGAGCCGGTCCGAGAAGGCTTCACGGACGCCCGCCCGCCTCCTCCCCTCCCCCCCCCCCGTGTGGCGGGGCCAGGCGCCGTCAATGTCGGTGTAGAGCAGGCGATCCTCCACCACGTCGCTGCTACCGGCCGAGGGAAGCGGCCTGCACTGTCATCCACCGTCGATGAGTTCATCATCAATGAATGAGGTGAGCGCGCCGAGGGAAGCGGGCCTGCACTGGCACACCCACCCTCGCGACTCGGACGCGCGGGAGAACTGGAAGGCGCCGTCCGCATAGTAGGTGTGCTCCTGTGATGCATCATCGACGAGATCACCAGTCACTCATGAGTCGCGCCGCCCGCGTAGTAGGCTGTGCTCCTCTCCCCACGGCGTGAGGAAGGTGCCGTCCATCCACTCTGGCTGCCTCCGGAGCAGCCGCAGCCTCGGGCAGCGCCGCATCGCCTCGAGGACGACGACGTAGCCCACGCACTCGCAAAAGGTCAGGTGCAGCTCCTAGACAGGCCGGGACACGTCGGGGACAGATCGTGGTCGCCGCTCGCAAACGGCGAGGTGCTCCTCGATCGCGGGGCAGCCGGCCACAACGAGTCTGACGCCGTTGTTCGTGACTCGCGCCGCGCCCGTGAGGTCGAGCAGCGACAGCTGCGGCAGCCCCGCCACCGCGGAGAGGTGCGCGTCGCCGATCGGCACCCGGCGCAGCCGCAGCTCGCGCAGGCTGCTCAGTTGCCGGAGCGAGGGGCAGAGGAGGAGCGGCAGCTTACCCAAGGATAGCTCGGTGGCGGAGAGGCAGCGCTCCCGCTGGTCGCCGACTGCGGAACGCAGGGCGGCGCACGAGCAAGCGCAGTGCGCCCAGTCGGAGTGCGTGCAGTGCGCGAGCAGGAGGGCGAGCAGGTCCGGCGACAGGTCGAGCAGTTCCATGAATGTGCTGGCCCCCCGGGGGCGGAGACGAGTTCGGCTGACCGGCCGGCTGCGGCTGTGCTGTTCTCGACTGTTAAATGGCCGCGTCCGCCCGGCGTCAGCTCAAAGAAGAAAAAGATCGCCGCCGCCTGCTTTCTTTCGACTTTTCCGTTCCGTCGAATAAAATTGGAGAAAATAAAGAAATTAACCCGCGGGTCTTCCCAGAACTATCCCTGGGGTCTCGCTCTCTCGCGCGCCCAAGTATATGCGGCCCACGTCTCGCCGCCTCTGCGACTTCCACGACCCCACGCGCCCTCCGCTGACGGCGGGCGAGCGGCTGGGAAACTTTGTCCACCGCGTCGCGGCGGGCGGGCTCATCGCGCTCTCCCTCGCCGGCCTCGGCTACATTGGGCTCGCGTGCGTCGAGGTCTTTGGCAAGCACAGGCGGAGAAAGCTCGAGGCGTCGGCGGCGGCGCAGCCGCGATGATCGCTCTTCGGAACGGTCGAGAGCAAGATCGTCGCAGATAAACGTGTTCTGGAGTTTGCCAACATGTCGGTGCTGTGGGGTGTGATGGCGGGGTGCGAGGCGAGCTGGGATTCGCCGTATGCCCCTGGGATCATTGACGTGCATGAAGGGTCGCACTTCGGTTGTGTGCTGTGCGCCTGTGCGCTTTGTGCGGGGTTGGTGCATGTCGGAGGCGCGCAGTCTGCGGACAGCACGCGGGCTGGGACGGCCTCTAAGTGCGTTGTGGGTGGATGCGCAGACAATTTGCCTCCGAGCGAGTGTCGAAAGAGTGAGGTTTTGAAACGGGAGGACACAGAACTCTATGACGGCCCCGTCGCACCAAAGAGGGGTGGCGGCACGATGTAGGTTCGCGTCTGCTGCGCGGCCCCCGCCGCTCCGGCGGCACCCGCGCCGCCTCCTGTTCGCGGCAGCTTTGCCCTCGTGACGCGTCCCTCGTAGTGCGTGACTCCCTCGAACGCCTCGAGCAGCACGCAATTGAGGGCCGACGCGGGCCACTTCCACAAAAATGTCCACCCGGCGCACGCCTCGTCTGCGTTGCAGAGGCCGCAGCACGCCTGAGGAGAGCCAGCCATTGATTGGTCTCGTGCTCTCGCGAGCGGCGCCAGCGCTGCAGAGGCCGCAGCGCGCGCCTCTGCGTCCGCCGCGCGGAGGCGCCCGAGGACGGAAGGCGAGAGGGGCGTGGTGTGGAGCGAGTCCTTGTCTCCCTCGCCGCAGCCGTGCGAGTCGAGCTCGAACCGCTCCTAAGGTCAGGTCAGGGCAGGGCAGGTAGACGTCTCCACACACGCAAGGCCCAGTGCGCGCGGGTGAGGTGTGTGTGTGTGCGCGTGCGTGCGTGCGTGCGTGCGTGCGTGCGTGCGTGCGTGCATGCGTGCGCGTGTGTGTGTGTGTGTGTGTGTGTGTGTGTGTGTGTGTGTGTTTGTGTGTGTGTGTGTGCTTGCGTGTGCGTGCGTGCGTGCGTGCGTGCGTGCGTGCGTGCGTGCGTGTGTGTGTGTGTGTGTGTGTGTGTGTGTGTATGTGTGTGTGTGTGTGTTTGTGTGTGTGTGTGTGTGTGTGTGTGTGTGTGTGTGTGCGTGCGTGTGCGTGCGTGTGTGTGTGTGTGTGTGTTTGTGTGTGTGTGTGTTTGTGTATGTGCCCGCTCCTCGTTGGGCGTGCATCGCTCGAGCGGTGCGTGGCTGTCGGCGGAGCGGTTGAGCGCCCGGATGGTACAGCGGAGCGCCTGCGGGAAGGCTGTGCAAGAAGGGTCCGAGACGGCCCCCCCGTCTGCGCAGAGGACGGGGCGGGCGACAGCAGCGCCTCGGCGAGCCACGCGGTGCGGTGGTCGGGGTGGTACACGGCGCGGTGCGGCGTCCCTGCGGGGGGAAGGCTCCGAGGAGGTGCCGAGAAGGCTCCTCGGTGCGAAGTGGGGGGGTCCGCACGGCGCTGGTGCGGCGCTCCTCCGACGAGATGGCGGAGGAGGGCGCCGAAGGGCGAGTTGAGCGGGCAGCCCGGCTTGAGGAGGGTGTAGCGGCGCGGGTAGCGGCGGAAGACGACGGTGGTGAGCGCGTTCTGCTCGAACGGCCACTTGAAGGACCAGGTCGGGTTGCCGACCGGCCAGATCCATTCCTTCACTCGTAATTATCAATGATGACTTCTCAATGAGTAATTAACGGCTGCCGCCCGGCCAGATCCACTCCTCGATCGCTCGCAGGATGCCCGCGCCGGCGATCGGGGCCCCCGCGAGCAGGAGCACGCCAGAGTTTGCGAGGCCTACGAGAGGAGGAAGCCCCGGGTCAAGAAGAGGACGACTGGTGGCGGGAGGACGGCCGGGCTTGCGCGTGCCGGCCCTTGTATCGCGGCGCAGCTTCTGCGGTGGGAACTCCTGAGAGGAGAAGGGCAGGATGACAAGAGTGGGGCGACAGCATCGTCATACGCAGCTCCTGCGGCGGGGACGCCTCCGCCGCAGCGATCCACCGCTCGCCGCGAAGCAGGCCGGTCGCCTCGGGCAGAGGGAGGAAGCCGTAGATCAGGGTGCAACGGCAAGCGACGGGAGTGCGATAGCCAGAGCCGGTGCCTCGGCTGCCACACCTGTGCTATACTCCACTGAACTCCGCCGCTCACCGCCCTGTGCTGTCTGTACCACGCTACGATCACTCGCCTCGAGCAGAGGCGGCAGCGGCTGCCACACCTCGGTGACAAAGACGTCCGAGTCGATGTACGCCAGGTGGGCGTGCCGGCGGAGCAGGTAGCGGATCGCGGCGAGCTTAGCCCACGGCGGACCGCGGGGAGGGAAGGGGCCGAGGCGGTGGTCGGCGGGCAGCCCTACTCGCAACCCTTCTCTGGTGTGTGCGCTGCCACCTGCCCAGTCTCGGCCCAGTCTCGGCCCAGTCTCGGCCCAGTCTCGGCCCCCGTCTCGGCCCCGTCTCGCCTGGGCAGACGGGGTCGCGGTTGGTGTACTGCTGCATCCCCTCCCTCCACGCCCACTTCGGCTCGGATCGCTGGCTCGGCTCGAGGGCGTCGTTCCAGTCCGCCTGTGGACGTGTCGGCCGTGTCGTGGGCCGTGTCGTGGGCCGTGTCGTGGGCCGTGTCGTGGACGTGTCGTGGGACGTGTCGTGGACGTGTCGTGGGCCGTGTCGTGGACGTGTCGTGGGCCGTGTCGTGGACGTGTCGTGGGACGTGTCGCGGCTCGAGGGCGGCGTCCCCGGCCCGCCTCGGTCACGCCGATGTGCAGGTGCGGGCACGGGTTCTCGAGGTAGAAGCGGTAGCCGTGCAGCTGCGCGTAGATGTGGTTCGTGACGAGCGCGAGCTGGAAAGTGCCCATCTTCTCCGTCCGCGACTGCAGCACCTCCTCGGGCGTCCCCTTGCCCTCGACACCTGGAAGGAAGGTTCCGAGAAGGCTCGTGGAAGGCTCCGGCACCTCCTCGGGCGTCCCCTTTGCCCTCGACACCGGCGTTGCCGTTCGGGGCCGGCCCGCCGCCGTGTGCAGCGGTGGGACGCCACCTCTCGGACAGCACGCTGCGCGGGAGGCCCCACTCTTCCGGAGAGCGAAGCGTCGTCCCGCCAACCTCGTACGCAAACGGTGGCCGCGAGTCAACCATCAGGATCGCCACGTCCAGCGCCGCCGCCGCCTCGCCGCCGCCGCCATTACTGCCGCCGCCACTGCCGCCGCCGCTGCTACCGCTGCCGCCGCCGCCGCTGCTGTTGCCGGCGCTGCTGGCTCCCGCCTCGGCCGGCCGCGGCGGGCGGTACCAGCACTCTTGCTCCTTCATGAGCCAGCGTGTGCCAAGCACGCCATCCAGCTTGTTCTTGATGATCTTGTCGATGTCGGCGCCGTGCAGAGACCGTGCCTGGAATAGAGAGAGCGCCCGCAGGCCCTGCGCCGTCTCGAGGTCCGGCTTGCCGCGAACGTTGGCGGGCGGGCTGCGCAGGAAGTCGGGCGTGAGCGCCGGCGTGTAGCGGTCGGCTGGCCTGCTGAGGTACCAGTCGCCCTGCGCGAGGTCGATCGCGCGTGGCATGCCGCGTGTTGTGAGAGCGGTTGCACACACACACACGTGTGTCGCCCCGGCCACACAGGACCGCAGCCGCTGTCTGCTATAGCCGCAGCCACTCCCAGCTGCTCGGTGTGAACAGAGTTCGTACCGAGCAGCAAGACCGAGGCCCTCGGTGTTCACAGCGGAGTGGCTGGGGCTATACCAGACAGCCGCAGCCGCGCTTAAAGAATTTACGCTGCGCGGGTTTCCGTTTGTGCCGCATCCTGTGCCCCCCTGCTCGTTCTCAGGACAAGAATGTCCATGCACACCCGACGCATCCCACGCGCCTGTGAATAACGTCTGGGAACGCTCCAGAAGATTTTTATCTACCCTATGAACCGCCAATGGCGATTCGAACCCAGGTCCTCAGATTCGAACCCAGGTCCGCCGACCATAGGTCGAGCGGCTGACATCGAAGTGAGCCGCCGATCATATGTCGAGCGGCGGTCTTCGGTTCGAGCGGCCAATCCTGGGTTGGCGGCTGTGGGGAGTGAAAAATCGTGTGTCGGAGTGATGCCACAAGCGGACTGGCGTCGTGGCGGTGTAAAAACATTTTTGTGTGCGTATTTTATTAAACTTCTTTTCTGGGCTAACGAACCCCTGCCACATTGTGAAGTGGGCAGAAAGAAGGTGTGAACAGACAGGCGGATCGAGTGTGAAGAGACGCCATGTCATCGGACCCCAAACCCGTCGGCGGCCAGTGGCACAAGGCCGCGCGCGGGGAGTTGTCCCCCCCCAAGGGCGCGAGCGAGGAAACGCTCGTGCCTCAGCTGTTCACGGCATCAGTGCCGGACCCGCGTACCGTGCAGATTGGTAGCGGCGGGCCTGACAGCAACAAGCGCGCACAGCCCGGCGCGCAGCACTGCTTCTTCGATGAGGAGCAATTTGCACCCCGGGATTGGACCATTCTCGGGGACGGGCCGGAGAGGCGCAATACTCTCACCATCCCGCTCGGCTCGAGCACCATTCGCGAACGCCTGGACCACTTC